GATGCAGACAAACAACTACAGGGCAGGAGAAGGTGCCTAAGTTTTTCATTCCCAAACCTTTCTTTCCTGTTCCTAATTGGCATTCACGAGACTTTGCTTAATGCAAAATGTTTCTCTCCCTTCACATAAAAAGTGTTGGGTCTCTCTTTGCTGCTCACATGTAGTTGTGTCCTGAAAATTTCTCAAGCATTTCCATATTTTTGAAAACCGCAATAGAAAACAAAGTTATTTGTTTTATATAGTATAGCTGGACATTTCTGCCCAACTATGTAAGTCATAATGTTTTGGCCAAAAAAGGATGAGTTAGGGTGCAATCCTATGCCTCTCAGTGTTGTCTATGGGGTGGGGCATAAGATAGGCTGGATTGGCAGCCTCAACCTTGGAAATGCCTTCCAATGTCAGAGAGAGGGCACCCCCTCTGCTCACATTAGGGGTGGTTGCTTCCACACCAGCGAGCCTCTAATGATGGAAGAACCCCTCTGGAGCTGGCACAGGGAGAGAAGAGTGCCAGGGGGTGGGGGTGGGAGGAGCACTCTCTGAGGAATCCTGGTGGTGCCTCAGGCTCTCCTCAGGAGGGAGGCAATAGCAGATGGCCAAAACTGAGCATCTAAATGGATTTTTTGGGGGGACGGGTGATGGGAGTGTGGAGATAATGCAGCTTCCATGTTCTTCCTACATTCCTCTGGATGGTCATAATCTTCTGCCTCTGGTGGTTTCCTGCAGCCACAGTGGATGGAGATCTTATTCAACCATACTTTGATTGTTCAAAGTACTGTGTTTCTTAACACAAGCAAAATGGATTACCATAAAGGATTATATAATTCCTTCCAATCTGAGTGTTTTGACTCCATTTTAGAAAAGGTTTCAGGGCCACAGTGCAGAGATGTATGGGGCTGAAGGCAAAATGGGTCCTTATAAACATTTCTTTACAATGTGTGTTTGTGAAGAGGAGAGAGAAATTCTCAATAGCCAAACACATTATAAAATGATATTAGAAGAATATGCAACTACATACTGTTCATTGTGAAATCCAATATTTTTGTTAGCCATTTCTGCAGCCATTGTTCTTCAGTCACCACTTTGTCTTCTTGTAATCTGGCATCATGACATTTTTTATTTCCAAACTCATCTGAGGAATTTTCCATAGCCTGGGAAACCTTTGTAGATAGAAAAATGTCCCAGGACTACTTCGAAATCATTGCATAGAAAACATCACATCTGGTCATTAAAACAAGTTCATAGATAACATTTTCACCTCAGTTCACATAGCTTAAATTTAGTAAAGGCAATCAATTGATTTTATTATTTATTTATTTAGAGCATTTTTATGCCGCCCCCTTTGCAAAAAGCCTCGGGGTGGCTTACAAAACAAATAAACAAATGTACAATTAACCTTAAAAATTCGGATACATCTCGGCACAACTATAAAAACCAATAAGTAAAGACAACAATTAACAGTTAAAGTATCATTTAAAAAAAAAGGTCTTGGCCTGGTGCCGAAAAACAAATAACAATGGCGCCAGGCGGACCTCTCTGGGGAGCACATTCCATAGATGGGGCGCCACCACAGAGAAGGCCCTCCTCCGGGTACTCACCCTCCTAATATATTTCACGGAGGGTTCCCAGAGAAGGGCCTCTGCTGCCGATCTCAAGGGGCGGGAGGGCATATATGGACGCAAGCGCTCCTTTAGATAACCAGATCCCAAGCCGTTAAGGGCTTTATAGGTGACAACCAACACCCTGAATTGGGCCCAGACTTCAATGGGAAGCCAGTGAAGCTGATGGAGGACTGGGGTTATATGAGAACAACGCCCAGCCCCCATCAGCAACCTGGCAGCTCTGTTTCGCACCAATTGAAGTATCCGGACCATCTTCAAGGGTAGCCCCACTTAGAGTGCTTTACAGAAGTCTAATCGGGAAGCTACCAATGCATGTGTCACTGTTGCCAGGCAATCATTCTCCAGGTAGGGATGCAGCTGATGGATCAGCCGAAGCTGAAGGAAAGCGCTCCTTGCCACCGCCGTCACCTGAGCTTCTAATGATAGCTCTGGGTCGAGGAGCACTCCCAAGCTGCGAACCCTGTCCCTCAGAGGGAGGGCAACCCCGTTCAGGACAAGGTCCAGGTCCCCCACCCTGAAGTCCGAACCACCTACCAACAGGACCTCCATCTTATCAGGATTGAGCTTCAGTTTATTGGCCCTCATCCAGCCCATTACCTCGGCCAGGCATCGGTTCAGTACAGCCATTGCCTCACCTGGATTAGTTGAAAATGAGAGGTAGAGCTGGGTATCATCAGCGTACTGATGATTCCACAGCCCACACCTCCTGATGACCTCTCCCAGCGGTTTCATATAGATATTAAATAGCAAGGGGGACAAAATGGACCCCTGCGGAACCCCATGGCATAACTGCCATGGCACAGAGCCATAGTCCCCCAGCACCACCTTCTGGAATCAGCCATTGAGATAGGAGCGGAACCACCGCAAAGCAGTGCCTCCTACTCCCAATCCCGCTAGCCTATCCAGAAGGATACCATGGTCGATGGTATCGAAAGCCGCTGAAAATTTTTTAAAAATTGCAATGTAGAATTTACTTTTAGACATTTTAAATTTTAACAATTTTTGAGCAAAACAAGTAAAAATAATATAGGTTCCTAAAGCAGCATTCAGAGACTGGCATCCTCCAGACATTTTGGACTAAAATGCCCAGCAGAACTGATCATTGGCCATGCTGCCTGAGGCTAATGGGAAGACTGTCTTAAGGCAACAAAGCAACTTTAGGCCTGCAAAGAATGCTAAAAAAAACCAGTCATCAGCAGTATCCAACTGTGTCATTCCACTAGTGCAAATGGCAATTGCATTGGCAGAAGCTAGGTTCCAAAGTACACATAAGAGAATTCAGCTAAAGTTATGTTTGCACAAGCATGCTGGATGTTGTAGAACTCCAGTCTATGCATGCATAGAATTGCACCCCTTAGCTGGGTAAAAGAACATACTTTGAAGCAAATGTTGAACAGGTTACACAAGTAGCTGTGCATTATGCTTGGGCAACAGGTTGTGCTAGCATAAAAAGGCTGTGATAAATATCAGCAGATTGGAACTGTGCACCTGGAAGGGAGTGGATAATAAAGCTCCTGCCAGAGGTTTACTTAGTGGAACTTGGCATCAACATTTGATTCAGACTATGTTCTTTTACCCAGCTGAGGGATGCACACCTCTGCATGTTTTGGCTGAAAAAGTCCTACGACACCCAGCATGCCCAAACAGCCATGCCAGTTTGCTGAATATGCATAAGATTCTTGCCTGAAGCCTGAAAGGGTTTTATTTATTTAATTGTACCCCACATTTCTACCAAGAAAAATGGCACTCAAGGGTTTCTTCTGTCATTTGTAACTTCATATCTCTCATGGAAGTGGCACTTACTGTAACAGTCTCCAGAAGAGACTATAAATTCAAAGTAGCTGGGTTGACATACATCAACAAACCAATTCTAGCTGTTTCCAGGATCCAGATCTTTTGTAAAGGTAATGGGTCTTAATTGCTCACTCTAAACCAAGCCATCCCAAAATGCTTTGCATTGCAACAGAGAAAGATATCTTGCTGTGGAAAACTGGGGATTGCAGTGTAGCCCAGAGGGAAAGGGGAACTTGGAGAAGAGTTGGCAGATTCCTTCAACCTCCCTGCTAACCAGAAAGTCTTGCACTGCATCCCTGTGAGTCCTAGCTCCAATACTCCCCCAAACATCTCCGAGGATGGGGTCAGGTTCACACATGGGGTCAGGTTCAAACATGTCACACATACATGTTTATTTGTGGTGGGCAATAATATCAAGAGACACTCTGCATAAAAATGAATGTGTTTACAAATGAAACATGTTGTAAGCCGCCCCGAGGTTTCGGCAAGGGGCAGCATAGAAATGTTATAATAATAATAATAACAACAACTTTACATATTGCATTTTGACACAAAACCAATGTGACTCAATAGAGTCAATTGTCTGCCTGTTCATATATTCATCCAGGGCCATGGATGCTGGGACAGAACTTTCACATCACTTTTCGATGGAGCCGGTTTGCAGGCAATCGAACATTAAAGGCTGGTTCAAAAACATATACCTGTGTGAACAGGTTACCAGAAATAGATATTTTTAACAGGCTGTACCTGAAGCAGTTCTTATTGGAACAGTTTGGAATTTTGCAAAATCATAGACTTCACTGGGTAGACCATGGGTTCCAAGTTTAATTAGTGATTATCCAAGATATTGTTTTATAATCAATAGTATTTCATTTCTGTAATGGCCCCCAAACTAAAGCCCTCTGGGAGAGTCACAATTATGAGGCTTAGAACGGCGGGACTTTTTCTTTTTTACCTTTAATACCTGCGCCAGCAATCTCTCCGAGAAACGTTGGCGGTCTAAGGCCAATTGCCCCAACCCAAACCGCCTCTCAGTTCTCAGGATAAAATGACGAGAAGCCGGGCATGTTGCTTTGACCGTCTCGGGGGAAGCGCGGGAATACAAGGTAGCAAATTAATAACATGAGCAAGTAAGTGCAACAAACTCTTGACACGAAAAAACTACGCGCGTGTGAATAGACCGCTGAAGTATCCCTTCTTTTGCAGCTTCTCAGACACAGGGCAAACGTCTGGGGTTCTCCAGGACCCCTTCTGTAGGAATTACCGGTCGGAATTGAAACTTACCTTGAGTCAGAGCAGATCGCAGGAGCCATGCCGGCCGTTTTTTCAAGTCGCCAGGCCGGCGAGGAGACGAGATGGCGGGAGGACTGGGCTGGCTGGAGCAAGCGAGGTCGCAAGCGGCCGGCTAGGCAGTCGCCAGTCCCGAGAGGCGGGCGCGGGGGCGGCCCCTGCCGCCGCTCGCCCGCCCGCTTGCGCGCTGCTGCCTCCTTCGGAGCGCGGCGTGGGAAGGAAATGAGAGCCTCGCTACATTGTCTCCACCCCTCGCTCCACACGCTACGCGCTGAGGATAGCGGAAGCACCCGAGGAGCAGGAGCCGGAGGAGGAGGACGAGAGGCGAGGCGGTGGGGAGGACCTACGGGAAGAGCCGCGGGCGGGCGGGGCGCGAGTGGCAGGAGGAGTAGTCGGCGACAGGCTCCTGGATGCCCGGACAGGTCCTGCGCGGCTGAGCAAGCCAAGGCAGCGCTTCCCTCCGGCTGGACGAGGTAAGGGGCGATTCCGTTGTTCTTGCTCTCCGCACTCCAACCTGCGGGGTAAGCCGATGACAGCGGCACGGCACAAAGCAGCCGCTCTCGTCGCTCGCCCTCACCCTCCGGCGCCGCACGCCGGGTCCGGCTCTGCAAAGGTGTCCTCGGCGTAGGGAGCGTTCCCTGCAGGTCTTGCATCTCGTGCGTGCGTGGACAGGGAGAGTGGGCGCGTGGGGGGGCGCTTCTCCGGAGAAGCAGGTAGTGGGGCTTACCGATCCCGGGCTTCTCGGGGAATCGTGTGGCCGTGGCTTCGTCTGAGCCAGGGCCTTAGCCCCGGAGCCTGTTTTCAGTGCCACGGCACGGTGGCCCCACACCTGTAACCGGATCGCCTAGTAGGAGCGCGCCTCTCAGCCGTGGGCAGGGCGCTTTTGCAAGCGACTGGGAGGGATGAAATAAACGCGAAAAAAGTAGAATCGAACACAAACTAGAAGCTAAGCGCGGCCGATTTGGGGGAAAGGGCCAGAGAGTGAGATTTCAAGCTCCGGGACCTGTCGTTTGGAGAACCAGGCATCTGATTTGGTTGACTTCTCCGAGGTTTTTCCTTCGAGTTCGTGCATGGGGTTCACTGTTGTGTACGCAGGCTGCTGTAGGGTTGGGCTCACTCTCAAAGAGGCATAGCCTGGATGGAGGCTTTGGGTTTATAGGGGAAAACGTGGGAGATGCCTCTGCACTTTTATGCAGGAAGGTGGCTGTCTGGCTTCCGACTGTGCCATCTGCAACACCTTGGAACCTCCAGAAAATGGAGGAAGCTGGTCCTGAATGGCTAAGGAGCACACATGGTTTATTTTCAACTGTAGTTTAACAGTAGTTTAAGGGGGTGAGAGCCATTTAAAAAAAAGTCCACAAGGAAGTGCTTTCCTGTAAGTTTTCAAGTGGCTACCAGTATGGCTCCACCACTTTCCTTGCTGTGGGGTACCTCCATAATATAGTGCTAGTGAAGGGCTTCCAGACATTCTGTTCCAGGGTCACAGTGCCCTTGCTTGCAGGACCTCCTGCTTTGGAATACGGACTTGCAGTATTCCACAAGGAAGTGTGCCATAGCCAGCTCTTCAGGAACAGCAGCTGAGGCCTGTCTTCTGTCTTTGTGTTGTCACAATAGCTGTGCCCACTTGGGAGCTTTCTGCTTTGCCAAAGCAGTGCTTTTCGCCTGTTCTTCCCATGGCCACATGTATTGGGACTACAGTTCCCAGCATTCCTGACAATTGGCCATGCTGCCATAAGCTCATGGGAATCGAAGTCCTAGAGATCTGGAAGTTACCAAGTTGAGGAAGGCACCAAAGCACCAAACAAACAAACAAAGTGATGTGGTACCTCCCAAATGGAAATTCTTGTTGTGGGAAGATGCATGGCATTTCCATTGTGAGCCCATTTTGCAGTGAAAGCTCCAGTCTTTCCCAACAGGTGCACTTCAAATGTGTTGGCCTACAGCTCCCATAACAAATCCAAAGTAGCTTTGGATGATGGGAGTTGTAATCCAATACACCTGGAGGGCACCAGGTTAGTCAAGAATGCTGTAGAAATTGTGGAGTGCTGGATGCAACGGATAATACTCCCCCCCACACACACAAAAAACCCCTTCCTCTCATGTGTGTGCTTTTGTATCAAGCTCTTTGAGATATATGTGTTTCTTCCAAATTGTTTCCTTTCACTCACTCTTCTCGCATAAGGAGAAGCACCATAGAAGACTTTCTCCATGGGCTTTCATCTCAGGGTGGCAGCTGCCATTTTGAATATTTGGGTGTGGTAGAAATTCACAAGTGTGAGTTGTTGAGGTAGCTGACAAGCCGCTCCACACCCAAAACTACTTTATAATTCCAGTGGCCTGCCAACCATCCCGACAACTCACCCTCACCAGGTTCGCACAGAACAAGCAGCTATGGTGCATCCATGACATGCCCAGAATATTCAGAATGGCAGCTGCCACCCGCGAGAAATTCACCAACAGTGGTTTCTCATCATGTTTGAACTGAACCATGACATTCTATGTCCTTCCCAAGGGCCAAATATCTCACTGTGGGAAGGCCTGATGCAGGAGAGGACATGTTTACTGCAGACCTGGCTATGCAAAGAGAATTCTGGAGAGTGGGGAGAACTGCCACTGGGGCTTCATTCTCTTTCTTTGGACACCTTGTGGTCTGCACCAGTATTCAGTAACTAGAAAAAGCACTTTTGCTTTTACTCTGCTTTCTCTTTTTGTATTACTACAGCCTTGATTAATTTGACATCTGAAAACTGGATGATTTGACTCCAAGGTGAGCAGAAACTTGTCCTTCCTGCTGAGGAAATTGCTTATAATGAATATAATAGTCTTTCTCACATAATTACAGGCCAGCTTTCTATTTGTAGACTGTGGAGTTGTAGCTTTTTTTGGTAAACAAATGGGGTGCACCCTTCCTCAGTGTTCTAAATAAATCTGCCTTTGTATTCAGCTAGACTGAATTGTGCCATTTCATTCCAGAATATTCACTTCAATAGTAGCTTGATATACATGTTTTCATGTGTAAGAAAACTTTGTAAAGGTATCTGAAAGAGGCTTATATCCTCAATGAAGGTTATGTTATCTACATCCTGGTTTCCTAGATGGAACTTTGAAAGAGGATTGAACATTGTTTGCCAGGGTGCTCTTTATATCAAGTAAGTTGTGATGCACCCCAGCAGCACACAAGCTGGTTAAATTTCCCTTGTGCAGGATCTAATTTTTTGGCACATATTGATCATGTTCAGACTGTCCATATCTTCAGTTAATAGTCCTTTGGGCATAAGCATCTAGCTTGCTTTTCCCTTTGCATGAGCCAAAAAGAAAGCAAGGAATCTTTGTTACAGTTTCCTGTTTCATCTGCATTGGAAAAGTAAAGTTTTCAGTATGAAAACAAGTCAGGATGAAGCCATGGCTTGACATTGGTTTAATATTCTTGACTTGTTTTGAAATCCAATAACTGTAGTGTTCCAGTTTGGATATGACAGCAAACTATGATTAGTAAAAGAGTTCTTGATTTGTTTGTGGCTTGTGCAAAGGAAGGAGTGGAGGGACTACAATGCATGCTCAAAGGCTTATCCATCTCTTCCCTTGATGGTTTCAAATGGGCCATTGGCAAACTCTAGCCAAGCAATTTTTATCAACATGTGCTGAATTCTGCATACTATGCATGGCAGGGGCAGAGTGGCCCATGCTTTCAGGTTGTTGCTGCCACATACCCAGGTGGCCCATATACAGGTGGGTCAGGTCTATTAGATCAGATTTAATGAGCTGTAACTTTTTAAACAACAAATGGGATAAATAGAACATAGAAAATCTAGGTATTGAAATGCTTGACTACTAAAGTGGAACGAAGGGGCAATGGGTGGTGAAGTAGTGGTTTCTCAATATAGTACCGTTCTGTTATTTCACATTCATATCCTAATTTTGCTTCTATCCTAATTTTGCTTCTGTTCTGTACTAGTTTTATGTTTTGTTTTTGTGCATCAAAGGGATTTCCCTGAAGTTCCGTTTATGTTTCAATTTGTATGATCTCTTTTCTTTGAGAGGGTTCCTGCTTTTCAGTGGAAAGTTACTGTTTTGCCTGCTCTGTTTTTCAGATGAGCCTTGCATTTCAGGCTGCCTAGTGGTTTTAAATTACTCAGCAGAACATGAAATAGACCATTAAGGGCCCAACCCTGTCCATATTTAGGCCAAAAAAAAAAAAAAAAAACCCTACCATATGCAGCATTTATCAGCCAGCAAGGCTGGAGGAATGCTAGGAGCTAAAGGATTTGTCTGTCTCCATATACATAGGGGTGTGCTCTATGACTGCAACCTTATCCTTGTTTACCTGGGGTAAATTCCATTGAATTCAATAGTACTTGTCTTGGAGTAAACATGTATGGGATTGCACTATAAATGTGTTATGGCCATCGGGAATGATCAGATGCTACCTTTTTCTGTTATCTAAATGCTACCATTAGCTTCACCCTATGACATTATCATGGAAATTTATGTGTTTATGGTTTGGCTAGGTCTGGTTCTTTTTTCTTCTTTCCATAGCAGGAAACTCTCAAGCCAGTTGTTTGGTTTCTTGCTCTAGGTCTTCACTGAGCTACAGTTTTTCTTCCTCTTGTTTCTATATGTAGCATGGCCTTCCCTGTCATGACTCCCTCCAGATGTGTTTGACATCTGGCTGGGAATGATGGGAGTTGGAGTCTGGAGGACACCAGGTTTGGGAAGGCTGATATAGCATAAGCTGTATCATATGTTATACAGTTCTCATGACATATTGAAAACACTTTAATGCTACTTTTCTGCAATTTATGGGAGAGGGATTTATTTGGAAACTTGAACATAGGTTCTTCATTAAAATAGAAAAAGAGCAATGGGAAGGTGCTTCGAAGCTAAGATTACTGAGTTGCTATTTTTATGTTCTATCAAATTGACAAATAGTTTAAAAAATAGAAGCACAGCTGAAGTGTGGTGCACATTGTGCACAATTCTTGGAATTGAATGTTTCTTATAGTGCAATTCTATGCATATTTACTCAGAAGTAAAGCTTACTGTGCTTAATGGGACTTTCTCCTAGGTATGTATAGGGTTGCAGCCTTCAGATAAGGAATGTCTCTAGAGAAAAATGTGGGCTTAAGGACTGGCAGAAGGTGGCTTCCCCTACTTTCCCCCAGAAGGCGCCCTAAACACCTTGTCTAAGGTTTAGGGCATGGGTCCTCAAACTGGGGCCCGGGGGCCGGGTGCAGCCTGCCATGCCCTCTTGGACCTGCTGTGCCCGTGCCCATTTGCACACCCGCCACCACCCACCTCGCCCCACGTGCAGGTAGGCAGCGGTTTGATCACTCGGTGAAAATGATCCCCAAGCAAGCAAGCTGCCGCCTCGTGCACCTGCCTCCCCTCCCCTCGGCGGGTGCGCCCGCCCGCCCACGCCTCGCCTCGCCTCGCCATGTACCCCACCCCCACCTCAGCGCACACACGCACCGCCCCCACCCCCTCACTGGCCCGTGGGAACTGCCAGCACCACCTTTCCGGCCTGCAGCTATTACCGGCACCTTTCAATTGGCCCCCTGCTGAAAAAGTTTGAAGACCCCTGGTTCAGGGAATCCTGAACCCTGTTGGGCTGGCCTGTGGCACAGGGGTGCGAAAGGAGAAGGATGACCCTTCTGAAGGCAGATTTTGCAAGCAGAGCTCCTGATTATGCTTGGTGCTGCTACCTAAATTTTGGGGTTCTCCTGCTTCTCCCTTAGCACCCCATCTCACAGGTAACCTTATTTAATGGTGGTCCCTGATCTTTGAGAGAGGCATTTTGGGGACTGATGGGAGAGGTGAGGGTTCCCATGTATTTCTCTGAATCCAACTTTTCTTTTTGTTTCCTGCCTCTGCTACTTTTCATCTCTACAAAGACATTGACCAGTCAACAGGGTCTCCTTTGGGAAGCAGCTCGTGCTTATATGGTGATGTGGGGCATAATTTCTGTGTGTTAAGATGTTGCTGTGAATGCCCTAGGTTCCTTTGTGCCATTGCACCAAATGGGTCCAGGTCTTAATTTTACTTTCATGCTCTGTAGCTCTAGAATCAGTGTCTATGGAAACATTTTTCCCTTGGGTAGGGGAGCTAATTAGCACAGTGCTTTCAAACTCTGCTTTAAAAGCACTGCCTGACTTCCTGTTTTTTTCTATCCTGCAGCACCATGTCAGCTGGGAGGGTCCGAACAAAGAAAAAGACACCAGCTGTGGACCAGTCTCCTGATAATCTTCCTTTGAGGAGTTCGGGGAGACAGGTATTTCATCTAGCTGTAGACCAAGTTGAGACAGTTTTTAGTTAAGTTCTCTTCAGCTGTTCTAGCCCACATGAGGTGAGGTGCCTGGGCATGTGCCTGCTGTCCCCAGTCCTTCACTGTGTCTGTTCTGCCTGGCCCCATGGCTCTCCATATGTTCAAGGATGATGTTCTGCAGTGGGAAACCTGTTTGATCCAGGTAGCCTCCCTGTGTGGCGTAGAATCTGAGTTATGTAGGATTCCAGTAGACTGTGCAGAGTGTCCACTGTGTAGAGTGGACTTCCTACTACAGATCTTCTTTCTCCAGCATGTGAAGGGCAGCAAGGCTGGGTGATGGAGATACAATGGAATGGGGCTAGCAAGCATGACAGCATACCCCAGTCATGCAATTTCAGCTATGCAAGGCTATAATTTCTGGATAGGGTGTTAGTGTGTGTGCGTGGGTGTGGGTGTGCGCGCGCAAGATCCTGTTATAAAGTTACCTTGTGCCTCTCCAAAATACATTCAGCACATTAGGACTTGAAGAAACCAACCACAAACTAGTTAAATTGTCTCTACATTTTAGCTTGCCTATTTTGCTTTTAAAATTAACCCTCCTTTCAATCCTAGGCAATTTTCAACATGAAAACCATCCTAAAAATACCAGTGGAAATATCAGTAAAAATAATTGAGCCACAGGCTAAGACAGTTCAATTTCTACAGATCAACCAGAGCCTTTACCCAGTTTTTGCCATGCACTGAAATTCAGAGAGGGCTACTTAATAGCACTGAAGTCAATGGAACTAATTTTGGCTTAAATCCTAATAATTTAGGTTATGTGGTTATAGGGCAAGCGTTGTACCAATGCTGATCTAACTTTTCATTCATTTCAATGAGTCAGTTGGGCTAACATTGGATATAACCCACGATGCATCAGATCTGCTTAGGAAACAAAGAGTGCCACAATCCTATGCATCTCTTTCTTGGTATGCCATTAATTTCATGCTCAGCAAGTTATCTTAGGTTCAAGTAAGTTTGTTTGTACTGGATTGCAGGTTGGCTTGTAATGTGCAATAGACTTTACTCAGTTCTGCAAAACCTGAGCTATTTTTCAGCATTATAAGGAGTGCAGTTCTCCTGGATTTTTTCCTTTTGCAGTTACAAAATTTTCTTTATTGTGATTATTCTTCTTTACCTTGTTGAATGCATGCACACAACTAACTTGATTGTGTGTGTGTGTGTGTGTGTGTGTCTATCTTGCTTCCTGCAGAAAAGGTTTGGCTCAGGAATGCCAAATATATGAATACAGATTACTGTAACCTTCTTCCACCACTCAGTAATAAAGAATGCTGTTGGCATATAAATGCAACTCTGCAGAGTTTTACAGTTGTAGTCATGATATTCTATTAGGTGAGGAAAAAGGCTGCAGAGGATGATGAAGATGCTTCAGAGAAGAAGTATCGGAAGTGTGAAAAAGCAGGATGTACTGCAACATGTCCAGTGTGCTTTGCTAGTGCTGCTGAAAGGTATGGTCTTCTTCTCTCCAATTCCTGGTCCTATTTCAACAAATTATCTTACTGAATCTTCTTTTCAGCTTTATTTGTGTGAATATCTGTGTCTGTTTTTAATATAGGAAGCTTGCCTCTTTTTTTCTGATGGATCTTAGTGGATCCAGCTGCTTTTGGAAATACTTTAACATGACCAAGTTAGAACTTCCAAAAAGTTTCAAGGATGAATTGAACCAGGATATGGGAAATACACTGGATAGTCATAACTCTGTCCCATAACATCAAGCTTGCATTGAGGCTGCAGTGTAAGGAAGATTCCAGTTTTTGTGTCTGCCCTCACAAAAGCACAGGTATAGATACAGGCATTTTCAACCATATTATTATTATTATGAATTTATTTAATTATTTGTATGTTGTTTCTCAGGCAAAAAAGTTCCCAGAGCACCTTATATGCAAGCAGTTAAACAAGACAGGCGTTCTGCATGGGCTTAAAAGACAGCACACAAGGACAAAGAAACTGGGAAGAGGGGGAAATATTTCTGTAAGCAGGGCTGGTGGAATGACCATGTTTGGTGGAATGACCGTCTCCCTCAGTGCAATCTGTTGGGCACTGCCTTGATGCTATGGAATGAGAAGGTTGTCTTGCAACTACTGATATAGTTATCATAGATCCAAGGCTGGCGTTGGACCTACAGGAAGTAACGGTTTAAAGGAACACTAGAAAGCCACGTTGCTTGTTCCAAGTTCTGGACAGTGGCCTTCTTTGTAATCCCTTCATTTAAAGAACAGCTTGTTCAATCCATTCTGAAACTCTTCCATTATTGGTTAGCATGTAATTTCATGAAACAATTGCCATAGTTAGCAAGTGAGCATAGGCATGTATATTCTCAAATTAAAATAACCCATTCTCATAATAAGGATAGGGTCTTTCTGAATAAGCTGGTTTAAAAATGGAAACAAGTTTTAAGCAAAAAGCCCTTTCTTTGTTTAATTGCTACTACCAGTGCCATTTCCTCTTTTACAGTTCTCCGTTTACCCCTTTCTGAGTTAAGGAAGACCAGATATATAAAATTATCAAACTAGTTACTGTCTACTGGCTATATGAAGAGCTCTGGGATGTTTCTTTATAGGTGTTAAGAGTTTCATGGAAGAAACAGCTATTAATGTCCACCACTTGCAATGGCTATATCTTGCCTCCAGTATTAAACGCAATACATCCTTCAATATCAGTTTCTAGGGAGTGTGAGTGGGGTGGGAAAGTACTATTGTACTTGTGTCTTCCCTATGGTCTCCCCCATCAGGGCATCTGCTCTGACCATTGTATAACTAGGGATGCTGGACTAGACAGACATTGGTCTGATCCAGCACAGCTCTTCTTCAGTTGAGAGAGACAATAAAAGAATGCACTATCTAAAATGTTACCTGCTTTCATCTCCAACATATGGCAACCCGCAATCAAAATTAGAATTATCTAACAAGTGAGCCTTGCAAAATAACTACAACAAAAAGCCCTCATACTTTTTAGATGATGCTTACATTACATTTATACCCTACCTTTCTTCCTCTTGTGAGGAACCTAAAGTTTTCTTCCAGTCCATTATATCCTTATAGCAATGAGGTAGGTTTGGCTGAGAGATCATGACTGGCCCGAAGTCACTGAGTGAACTTCATGGCTGGGTGGAGATGGGAACCTGGATCTCCCAGGTCCCCAGTCCAGCTATCAAGCCACCACACTGGCTCTCTCTCCCTCTCTCGCCATTCTCAGTGCTGCCACCCCTGCATTTTAATTCAAGGTTAAGGATAAATGAATATAAGTGTTTGAAAATTGCAAACATAGCTAGTGTTGTGAAGTATTTTCAAACATCAGAACAAGGCATTTAGTGTTGTCATTTTCTCATGTTTTAGGTGTGCTAAAAATGGCTATACATCAAGATGGTATCATCTCTCCTGTGGAGAACATTTCTGTAATGAGTGCTTTGATCATTATTACAGAAGGTATACTAACTCTATGGAATCTATGGTTATTCTTGATAAGATGTATGTTCAACTCTTTTCATGCAGTGCCAAATGATTTTAATAACAATGAGTTAATAAATTTTAATAACAATAACATCACACAACCAACCATTAGATGCTGTCATTGGTTGGTTGTGTCATGAAAACTCACTAGTAGTTACCAATGATTGGTTCTTGTCATGGTTTGTAACCACAATTAGAAACAATACTCTGTTGTAGTGTTGTTTGACCCACAATGGGATGTTGGGTCATTCAAACCTGGATGACATGATCTGTCATGACCAGTCCTGACAGTTAGTGAGATGCTTGAGAAGAGCAACAAAATCCCTTTGCTGCTTTTGTCAAGCAGCTAGCCTGTGAGCATGGCTGACAGCTGCCTCCAAAGCGCCAAGTGGTTTAGGCCAGCAGTGGTTGTGGGGGAGAGTTGCCACTGTCCAGGCAAGCACTGCTGTCAGCTGCTTCCAGAGTGCCTACAGAACACTTGCAGGCTGCTGTCAGAGGCTTACCACACTGTAGTGGCAAGAAGCCCAGCTTCACCTGCCTGCACTACTGTCATGAGCTGAAAGATTGTGCATTAGCTGGGAATCAATGTTTGTGCCTCTTTTTGAAAGATGCCCTCTTAAAAGATTGGTAGATACACTTTTGGAAAATAATCTCAAAACTTCCTCTTCAGATCAGCTTTAGTGAAAGGCAATCAATAATATGAGTTAAAGCTTGTGTATTCTTTAAGGTTTCAGTCCTATGCATGTTTAAATAGAAAAGTCCTACAACATGCAGCATGCTGTAGTCATTGTACAGGATTGCACCCTAAGTATTTCTTGTGTGCTTGTTAGGAAGCCAGAACTGCTCCATACACCCACAGTGACTTTAACAGACCTTATTGCCAGCTGTGAACTTTTGAACATTATCATAAATTGCTTTCAGCTAGAAAATGTGCATCACCAGTGGAATGCATGGATATTTTCCTGGAACACAGGCTGTCTGTTAAAGTTACTCTGGAAAGACCACATTTGAATGGATGGATGAAAATTGGATGGACAGTGAAATTATTGTGTGTTGATTTGAGGATCCAAGATTGGGAGTGGGGGTATTTGAATTCATCCTTAGATTAATCCTTGAATGAATATATAATCAAATTATCAGACTAAGTAAAGTAAAAATTATGCATAAGATTGCTTCAAAGTTTCTCTATACAAACTATGCTTATTTTGGAAAAAAAATATCTTGACTATCATTCTGTTGTTGTCCTGCCTAGCTCTTTTTCTTAGCATTGCACATTTGAAATAAGCTGCAGATATTAAATACCCCAAACCATATCCAGCTCATTTGTTCCTTCTACTTACCAGTTGCTTTGTCACTCTTCTTAGTCATAAAGATGGCTATGAAAAATACACTGCCTGGAAAAGGATCTGGACCAGTAACGGAAAAAGTGAACCCAGTCCTAAAGCTTTTATGGCTGATCAACAGCTCCCTTACTGGGTAAGCATATTTTTCTTAATGATGTATCACTGTGAAAGTAATACATGCAGATTTTTGTCTTCCCATTCCCAATAACTTGAAGGTTTTTGAAGGAAGGACTATGTGGTAGATCTTAGGGTCTTCTGGTGAAAATTATATTTGAAGGACACTTAAAAGTAGTTAAAAAAAACATTACTGAGAGCCAGAGTAATATGGACTGGAACGAAGGATATCCAACTTGAAGGCCTATCTTAGCCCTGGAGCTCACTGTGTGACTTTGGGCCAGTCACAAACTCTCAGCCCAACCTACTTCACAGGGTTGATACTGTGAGAATAAAATGGAGAGGAGAACTTTGTAAGCTGCCTTGGGTTCCTTGCAAGAGCAAGAGATGCAAAGCATAAATGTAACCACTAATACTACCACCACCATCATCAGCCCATCTAGCTTGATTATAGGTCAGTATTGCCTATACTGATTAGCAAGAGCTCTCCAGGATTTTTTCCTCACTTCCCTGTTCCTCAGGGATATTTTCCAGGTGGGAAAAATCAAGGACCTGCTGTATGCAAAGCATGCATATGCTCTACCACTAAATTGTGTGTGTGTCCTTCATATTATTCCCACTTTCAATCCCAAGATGGTCCCCAACAGTTTCTTTGTGTCCAAATTGCTATATTTAAATCAAGTTAATTTTCACTTAATAATGAAAGTGATCCTCTGGAAGAGAGGCAGGAGGTTTGCTTGGCTGTATTCATTTCTCCCATGAAGCCAGAAAGAAAGAGCAGATTCATTCTGGCTTGTGGGGTAGCTGGGCGGGGGGGACCCAGGGAACAAGCTAGGAACAGGTGGCCCTTTGTTGGCTCATACTTAGTTGTGGCCATGCCTCTTGCACTTTTCCAGATTGCAAAACGACCCAGGAATGCCATTTTCAGAAGCTAGCACAATTTGAAAAGAAAACTTAACTAGGATGATGCCACTCAGTATAATTAAAAATGTATATTAAGTATCAACAATGCAAGACCTACAGTTAGGAAGAGAATTATACTTCAGGCTTGGAAGGAAAAACATCCATCCAGCACTCGGTGGCTAACAATCTCACTGGGGGCTGTGCCCACTTCTCCCAAAATACAGCATTCTACGGCAGTTCCCTCAGAGTTTGAATCAGAACTGGAAGAAGAGGACAGGCCAGATTTCTTGGCTCAAATGCCAAGGCCAGAATGCCCTGAAATAAGCCAAGCCAGGGGGAATCAGACCATGTCTGTTCTGAGGAAAACACTGTTGAACAGACTGGGCTGGGGCAGCAGGTGTATGTAACTTGATAAGTTCCAAAGCCTGGCATCAGATCAGAGAGCAATCAAGGAGTGTCCATCTTTCCTGCCATCTGGCATACAGGAACTAGAGTGCAACAAACTCCTTCTAGTTGGGAACTGAGGAGAGGGCTCAGTTTGAAATCAACCTCTTATCATGAACCCTGTTTCCGGAATTAGCTGGCTTCCTAAGACTTCCTAACTTTGGTATTTTGTGAATGACTTCTGCAATACTCCTTTTGTATCACAAAGCCAGCCTAGGTGGCCAGTTTTAACATAATAAAGACTGTAGTTAGAAGCCTCTTATCTTGATTGCTTGGAAAGAGAAGTGGGAGGAGAGAAAGATTGGATTCCAAAACTTACTGCTCTTGCTACATTTGGTCCTATCTCAAACAGTATCAAATTTACTGGGATGCCTATTTAGGTACATGGGTTACTTATAGCAACATGTGAAATGGAAGTGTAAAATCTTTTCTTCCTCCTGTATCAAGTGAGATGTTAACAATTACTGTATATTTTTGTTTTATGATATGAATTTCCTTTTTTAGTTGTTACTGTGTTGCAAATATTTTTTAAACGTTAGAACTGCATGCAAACACATTTCCATACAAATAATATACCTAATGTAATTCCATGGTGTCAAACTTAATTGTTGCAGTTCTTCTACTTGTTCTATTCATTCATTATTCATTGTGTTTATTGCACAAAATGAAAAATGCAAAGAGAATTCTGGCTTGGTGTCTTGTGTGAACATGGCCACACATTCCTACTCCTACAAGCTTGATGGGAAGTTGAACAGATTGTATGTCTCTCCAAGCAGGTCATTGTTTCTCCTTGAAGAGGTCTGCTGGAACAGTTGAGAAACATCTTTCTGGTTGTATTAGCTTGTGTTTGCTTTTTGATATGTAAGAAAAAAGACTATTACTTAATTTTATTTCCAGGTCCAGTGCACAAAGCCAGAGTGTGGAAAATGGCGTCAGCTGACAAAGGAAATCCAGCTTACCACACAAATAGCCAAATCGTATCGTTGTGGCATGAAACTCAATAATTCCACCAAGGTACTGAATATGCTGCTGGTTTGGTTGTTCCTAGAGGCTGATGTTTACTTCAGGCTTAAACATTTGCTCTGTTTGTAGACACTTATGCTTATCAGTACACTTCATATGCCATTGCAGTGATGCAGCCATTCACACGCACCAGCACTATGAGAGAGATTCATAAAAGACTGTTTTGCAGAAATCACTTGGTGTTCTTTGTATAAAATCTCAGGTGGATTTGCAGGGGGTGCCACATCCCAGTTTGTTATAGAGAAGTAAGCCTCCTTAAGGAAGCTGTCATTTTCTGCATGGAAGGACTCAAGGTCCTCATTTCCTAGTAGTTTTTCAAACAATTTTGTAAAGGTAAACATGTAAATGGTAACCCTGTGTGGGGAAAGGCAGCTTGGGAGAATGGGGGTAAGAATGGTTATCAGACAGATGGAAAATATAAGGATAAAAATATGATAAATAATTTGGCCTGACCTTTACAGTGGAAGCCATGCTATTGCTCCAGTTACAAAGCATTGTTTACATAAGAGAACTTCTTTACTCTTACTTAAATAATGTTTTGTGGCTTTGTGCAGGTGAGAGAAGCTGTACTGTTATCTGACATAGTTATATATATTGCAGATCGAAGTCTCAGACCAGTGCTCCATGCCTGAGGATCTGGTAAGCAATGCCTGCAGTATTGGAATGAACCAAAACTGTGGGAAAATGTGGGACAGCAGGATCCAATACTGCTGCTGTGCTAACTGGGAATGACCAGTAGTGCAATAGGAAAGTAGTGTTTGCTTGCATAAGTCAAGTATCTATCCAGAACTACAGCTTCTGGAATAGGTCAGAACAGTGGAAGTCACAGAAAGGAATTTTGCTGATTTGTTCTATTCTGGAAATGGTTAGTTGCTCAGGCTGAGGTAGCAAGCACCACTTTCCTCTTGTGAAATTTGTCTTGCCACTGGTGCTATATATCTAGAGTTGGCTGATTGTCAGCACTGTATACTGCCCAAAGGTGGCCTATTTAACAGTCAATGCATTATGTCCCAGTTTACATGTAACATCAATGCATGGGTTGTTTAAAGCCATGAATTGACAGGATGCAGCAGGAATAAGCAGGTGCTCTTCGTTCTGTACACTCATTGCTTCTGGCTTTGCATCTGAGTTTGATACTGTGAAGTGTGAACTCAGCACTCTGCACTGATTAGGATTAAACAATCCAAAGTTTTAACCCAACAACAAACCATGCGTGATTTCTGAGTTAAAACTCTGTGTAGTTCAGCCCTAAACAATAGAGAGCTCTGGATTTACACACTGTGTTCACAACAAAGCCAGATGTACAGTGGGCTGATGAATTGGATCTAACATCTATTTCATAAGAACTGAGTCTACGTGGGTAAACAATCTTCCCTTGAAACTGCAGACTTCTGGGAACTGGAATGCTTTGTTATTCCCAAAGATCAAAGACTTCTGAAGCTAACCAATCCAGGAAATTAATGTAATTAAGATATAGTTGTTTAACTTACGATATATAAGGGTGTTTATGTGTCTAGTATTCTTCTCCTTTGTCCACATGGGATGGGATAATCTCTAAGGTTTGTTAAAAGACCAGCTCCTATCCCTGATTCCTCCTCTGACTGTTGTTAATGCAAAAAGATTTTGGTGGTGCCTAGGGCTTTTGTTGAGCATGAATTGGCCTCAGAGAGGGATGGCACATCACCCAGTCCCTTCTTTTTACTGCTGCCCAACTCTTTGAGGCTGTTAAAACATTTTCACATGGAAATGAACTCCTCCACATTCATGACAGAGCACCTGGAGATGGCACACAGTTTTCCCTTGGAGGTCATTTTGGGCAGACAGAGTCTGCTGTACAAGTTCTGCAATGGGTCCTGTTTTTCTTGCATTCAAGGAATCTCCCAGGAAAATAGTACCGCTCATTATTCCAATGTGGAGGAAGTAAATATAATTTAAAAAAGAAATCCATCTGTCTTTTCATCCCACAAGTGGAAATTAATCAGGAATGAGAGAGAACCCGGGAGGATAAAGCTTTAGTTATTCATGCAATTATTTCTCCTCTCTTTCCTATGCTCCTTCCTAGAGAGTTGCTGAAGTGTCAGATCACTGGTGGTATTCCATGCTCATCCTTCCTCCATTGCTGAAGGACAGTGTGGCTGCTCCTTTGCTGTCTGCATACTACCCAGACTGTGTGGGTATGAGTCCATCTTGTACCAGCACTCACCGGTTGCTTGGTGAATCCAATGCAGTAAAAATGGAGCATTTAAAGACTCCGCCTACTATAGCTGGTAAGCTGGGTGTGGTTTTCTGTCCTGTCTTGCACTTAATTGGCAGCTTATACCTTGTCTCACTTAAATGATACTCAGTGCCAAGCACTGGAGCCATTCACATGCAGGCTTGATAAAAGCAATGCGCAAGGTTAAGTGCCTTTTAAAGAGGGATTGTACTGAACAATGGCCTGGGTAAGAGCTCTCCATGCAGCCTTCTTTGGTTTAAACTGAGTTGCAGTCTAACCATTGTTTTGTAGTTAGTTCTTCTACTTCCTGCTTGTGGGCTATGGCAGCAGAACCCTGGGCCATTGATCTACTCTAGCACAAATCTTGTTTTACAATTTTGCAGACTCTTTTTTTTATACTCGTATTAAAACTCTTTATAATAAATAATTTTTAAAGTTCAGTTTTAAAGATTTGTGTGTGGGTTCAAGAATGAATTCTGGGCCTGATAGTATGCTTTGGAATCAGTCCTGCCAGTTTTCATAGCGTTTTGACTACCATCATGTTTACACCCTTCTTGTGTGTTCACATCAGTCCAGTTCAGTAGCAGCATGTGATGACTGAGAACAGAAGATACGTTTTCTGCTGCTAATGTGAAATCCAAGAACAAGGAATGTGAAGGGCCTATAAGGTGGTACTCCCAGTTCATTCAGTAAAAGCACCGTGGTTTCATTAAGCTCAGTATATGCTGTCCTTATATAATCAATATGTACACTGGTGACAACTCTTCAGTAAAAATGAAGCAAGAAATGATGGCTCAGCAAAGGGCAGACAAGAAGACTCTCCTCAAAGAATTTAAAACTCTTTTCTCGATGAACACTTGAACGTGTGCTAACTATTGCTGAGTCAATTCATACACTGATCCAAATGATATCAATATCTCCAATGTGAAAATGTTCCAGGAATCAGTTGTCTCCTTTTCAAAAATTATGTAGACTATCTGTTTTCAACTGGAGGGATAGTTTGGGCTACAACTCCCAGCATTTCTATGCATTGGCCTTGGTGACTG